ATTTCCAAGAAGCCACAATTTAACCTTTAATGCAACTCATGTATTAAAGGTTAAATTGTGGCTTCTTGGAAGTTAAAATAATTTTCCTTCCAAGGCTTCTCTTTTTACTTATTACTGAAACCACTTTGCCTAGATTTAGGTGTATGATACTTGGAAAGATTTCCTTTAGATCAGTGTGGTCCAAACCTGGCCACTTTAAGATGAGTGGACATGCTGGCTGGGGAATTCTGGGAGTTGACGTCCACTCATCTTAAAGTGGCCAAGTTTGGACCACACTGCCTTAGATAGCGAATAAGTTTCTGTAGAAGCACTGCCTCTTCTAATCACCGGCCTGGAGGAGCGTGCAAGCTATTTGGGTTGAGGATTACATTTAGCTTGTGGTGGTGGTCCAGATACCATATTCCAACAAGCAGAATAAAAGCAAGAGGGACCAGGACAAAAATGAATTTAAGTTTAATTAATGTGTACATCAATTACAGTCACATTAGCCAAACACGTGTATTACTTATTACTTTCCCCTTGTATCAGTTAAAAATTCTAATCCTATGGCAACCATGGTAGGTATATTGGAAGTTGCACTTAGGGATTTTTGAGCCCACAGGCCATCATCACTGTCAGAGATGACAGTACTTCTCCTGGCTTTCCTCTAGTGTAACCCCCTTTACATGGGATGATCTTTACCCCTAATCTAATGCTTGCAATTCTGTGCATTGTACTATTCATTGATTTTTGCAGATGAGAAAATAGAATAATGATATGAAGTAAATCTTGGGCAGTGGGCTAATATTTGTAAAGCATGGCCTTTGTACTTTCTTGTATTTTCAATTACTGACATGTGGTCCTTCATATTTTTCAGGAAATATAAAATCTTGAAAAGCCAAACTGAATGTATTTTAAAGACAACACTAGCTAATAAAGAAGAGAAGATTGTTGCATTGGAGGCCAAACTGCAAGAGTTCGTTAACTTAAATCAACAGTTACAGAATGAACTGAACATGGTAAGACAGAAACTCAGAAACAATGCTCAATACTAGTAAGCATGAAATAATGCAGACCTTGATATAACAGAGGTTCTTCAGCCTGATTTAAATGAGTGGTTTTGATCCTGTGTTTTCTGATCTATTGATGAAGGTCTCTGGTTTTCATTTATGGCTTAATTCTGCATTCAGTATGGTTGTATTTCATGATATTTACCTAAAAAGGATTTCTTCTAAATTCTTACCTGTAATTTAGAGAGGGGATCATCTTACATTTACTGAGAATAGAGGAAGACACATTTCAAAGTGAAGGAATGGTGAGGAGGTGCAAATAATGAAAACAAGTGTCAGAAAGCAGGAAGAACTGCTAGCATTGCTTCAGGGTGGATGGAGATGCTCTCTTATTGCCTTCCACATGCAGAAAGTGAAGGTCTGTAATGGACAGCTTTTTCTATCCATGGAGACTCTGCCCATGAATTAAAAAAACAGAATCCTTAGTAGAAGATTCTGGTAATCCATTCATCCATAGTGGAGAGGTTCTTCGTTATAGACATTTAATCTCCTCTATATGTGGAGGGAAAAGAAAAGAAAATATGACTAGCACATGAATAGAACAGAACTAACATTTTATAGATTCTTACCTGAAAAATAAAAACTATCAAACTCATTGGGATTTAGCTACAGAGTAAATATGCATAGAGGTTGCAGTTCAGTATACCAAAAATCACTTTTCCAGTTTCTACCCCAGCTTACCCAGAGTAAACTGATCTAAACAAATCCATGCTCAGTACCACAGTTGTCTAGGCATACTTGCTTGGCAGCAATAACCATTAAAGACTTATGCTTACTAAGCTCAGATTTTTATAGACTCTTTGTGAGTGAGGCAATAATTTGTGCATGAAAATATGGTTTGTGTATGTATATGTAGATAGGAGATCAATTTTATCAATGCAGGTCCCTTGTTTTATTTGCTGAGAATTTTAATCTGTAGTCATGATTTCAATTAGTACTACATTTTTTTCTGGACTTCCCTAGTTTTGGCTGTGGCCTCTGGTTGATGTGTGTGTGTGTAATAACACATGTACACCTGCACAACTGGGTGACATGCATGCATTTCTTTTGGAGAGGAAATCTCCAGAATTCAATTCAGTGGAAGTTGATAAACATAGTTGACAATGTAGGATTTTGATCTGTATTTGTAATTTTTTTTTCTATCTAATTCTGCTTTTGTGGGAAGATTATCTTAAATTCTGGCTCATCTTCTTTTCAAGTAAATATTGCATATGTTACAACTTTTGCCTACATTTACAGATGAGGAAGGACTTTGCATGTCTCAAGCAGAAGCAAGAAGAGGGAACTTTTATGCAGAAGTTGAATCAACCATTGGAAAATTGTCAGAAGGAAGCAACAGTGCAGCTTCTCAAAGTGAAGGACAGAGCTATAGAATTAGAAAGGAATGTAAGATGCTTAGCTGTGTTTGCTTATTTCCATTTTAGGTTACAAACAGTTCACACATTTTAATTCGTTATTGGGTTATATTTGAACATGTCTGTGAGCTGATTGAGTGGTATTTGCCTACTCCATACATCTGTGGTTCTGAACACATTCTGTGCTAAACTGCAATAAATATGCATTTATTTGTATGGTTTCTCTTCATAAGCATATTATATAATACATGGAGCATCCCCTGTGAATAATTCTTAAAATTATTTTCCTTATTGTCTTTATGCTTGTAGCTTTCCCTGTTCTATATGTTTAACTTTTCTTTAAGTTGGAGTTGCCTAAATCAGTGGAGTTGCCTAAATGAAAAGGGCAGAGAAGGCCTTTCTTCCTTTGATGTGGTGGCCTTTTATTCATAATGACTGGATTGACAAGAACTTTGCAGAGGCTGCTGGAGCATTTTTATGGGGAACAGTTTGTTCAAAAAGGGAAATGGACAGTCCAGTACAACCTCACTGTAACTTTACCTAAAAACAGGAATATGGCCATTGTGAATGCAGTTGCCTTGTCAGCCAGTAGAACACAGGCATTCCCAACACCATCCTCTTGTGTGGATGGCAGGCACAGTTCAAAAGCCACTGAGGGAGAGATGCTCTCTGGCACAAACATAACAGATAAGTCTAGCCCCCCCCCGCCCCCCCGTGCTGGATGTAGAGCAAAACTTAGGTCATTTTCAGATCTTGAGGCAGAATTCAGAGAGAAGTTGGACTGAGGCTGGGAACTGCCATCATTTATAAATCACCTCGTATCTTCTAAGGAATATACAGATATTAAAAAGACATTTCCTAGCTCACAATCTTCCATTGTAATTTCACAAAAAGGAAAAAAAAAGATAAGGAAGCAGATAAAGGCAAATGAAATAGGTGCATTCTCACTGGCTGATGGATGGAACCAGGTTGGTTTCTTCTTTGCTAAATTGAACTTCCTGAGACCGGTGTGCCATCCCTGTGACTTTTTGGTCCCTCACTAGTGGCAGAGGCAAGAGTTTTCTCTTGCTCTGCAATCTTAGAACAATTAGCTGTTGCAGCCAAATGTTCTTTCTAGTTATAGGAAAAGTAGGTACTGCAGGTACTTCTTGCCCTCCGCTGATGAAGACTCCCTTTATATAACAGTTGATCTCAGAATATGTGAGCATTTTTTTTCTCCTGCCTTGTCAATTATGTTTTTCCTCAGAATGCTGCCTTGCATACAGAGACACAGCTTCTTAAGGAGCAGCTAGGACATTTGGAAGTGCAGAATGGCTCCTTCAGCAATCAGATCCTGACACTACAAAAGCAAAATGCTTTCCTTCAAGAGCATAACACTACAATGCAAACACAAACAGCTAAGCTCCAGGTCAGGAGAATTCCTAGCCAGTTCTGTCTTAGGTAGTCCCCAGGTTAAGAACCCCCAGTTAAGGAAGACCCATAGTTAAGAGCAGAACTATTGTAGCAAAATTTGAGGTAAATACACAATGATTAAATACTACTTACACAGTATTAAACGATAATACTGTTCTAGCTTACATACAAATTCAACTTAAGGACAGACCTTGGGAACAGAACTGATTCTTAAACTGGGGACTACTTGTAATTTGTTTTAGTTTATTTTAGAAGAAGCACAAAATAGCCACTTTCTAGCTTTGATTCAAATTACTTTCAGTGTCATCTCGGTGTATCTTTCTTTCCCAACCTGCAAAGCAATGAATTGAGTAGCCTACTTCTTGAGAAAATTGGAAAATGTTTGGATTTGATTTGTTAAAACACTTTATTTTGCTTTGTTCTAATATATAAAAATACTAAGACAAGGCAAAAAGAAATAAGGAAAAAATGGATAAAAAAAAGAAAAAAACATTTTGTATTTAAAATTATCTTTTACTAAATGGATCTTGTAGGTGCTCTGATTTAATTTCATACCTATGTAGTTAATCCTGGAAATAAGCCAGTTGTGATGAGGAGATTCTTAAAGGAGTAGAGCAGAGAGAGTTACGGTAGGAAAGAGGAGCAATAAACATATGTTTTAGCAAGCAACTGCAGGACTGGATTGATCCCTTTGTAATAGTAGATTTGTCATTTTCTTTGAGAAACTTTAGGTGGAGAATTCAACCCTAAATTCCCAGAGTACATCCTTGATGGCCCAGAATACATTACTCCAGAATCAGCAGCTGGCCAAGGAGAATGAATATGACAACCTGCTGAAACAGAAAGAACAACTCAAAGCAGAGTATGAATCCCTTCTTCAAGATCATGAACACCTTGTGTTACTGCACGAACGGCAGTCTACGGAATATGAAACGCTAATAGAACAGCACAGCAACCTCAAAGCCTTGCACAAAAATCTTGACTTGGAGCACAGAGATCTAGGAGAAAGGTACAGGGATTTTACTTCACAGCAGAAATTTGTCTCCAGCTAATAACAACAGGAGGTGGAAAGAAGCTTACCATGTGGTAAAATTAAAAATCTGGTTTTTGTTAGCATTATAGCCAGCGATGTTCAAATGATATCCCTAAAGCATAAGTTCTTAAGTGTAATAAATATAATTTTAAAAATCCTTATCTTTTGGACAAAGTTATCAACAGAACCATCATATCCATTCAAAACAGCTTGTTTTGAAATGGATGAAAAGGTATTTTAATAAAGTATTTGGTATTGTGCCCTCTTTTGTTAAATTGGATTGGTTTGAAAATTTCATACACACCTCAGAATGTGTATCATTTATATACCTAAATATATCTGAACTACATATACCTAGTACAGGCAAAATTAAACAGTTGGTGTTCTGTTGATTTGAATGGGAACAAATGAAACATGCTTAGAAATTCTTAGCTTTGGGTGAAATTTGTATTAGGTATAAAAGAACAAAATTTATTGTTAAAGAAAAATCTTGTTTCAGCTTTCTGTACTGATTGTGGCAATATTTTAAGGCAAAATTGCAGATATATATTTGTTTTTATACAGATACAGCAGTTTGATAGAACATAAAACAAAACTGGAAGAGATGGAGATGATTTTAAAGACAGAAAAAGATGTTCTACAACAGGAGAAGAGAACAAGCACAATAGTGGCTGCAGAGAACCAGAAGCTTAGAGAAGAACTAGAAAGGTATCTATTTTCAGAAATGATGTAGGCTGCTAATACATATTCATGGAAGAATTTCATTGATCCATGTCATTCTTAGAAATGTATACAAATGGCTGCCTATTTGGTTGAACGTCCTTAACATTTATGCTACAGTGCCACACTTGCTTACAATATCTGTTGCTTACAATATGGAGGAGAATGTTACTTTATTAATTCATTAACTGTGTAGTTCTAAAAAGTCTTGAATTCCGGTACAAATCTGCTCACCAAAGTTGTTGGAGAGGGCCTTCTGCCAGGTTGCCCTTAGATTGTGGAATGCTCACCTGAACACTCCAATTCCTTTGAAAATGGCAAAACCCCATCTCTTTTACCAAACTTTTAATAGTTAGTTGAATTGATCTTGGTTTTAATAATACTGAATTTAATTTTGTGTGGATTTTAATTGCAGTGGTTCTATTATGTTTTATCATTTGCATTTTTCATTCCTGTAAGTCACTATGCATGAAAGGCACTAAGTTCAATAAATAAAAATTTATGTTGGGGTAAATTATATTTTAAAAAATCTAGATAAAGGGATTTATTTTCTTTTACATGGATGAAAATATTAATGCTTGCCCTGAACCTTGTTACTTTGGCTCCTGGAACTTTCCTCCAATCACAAATAGAAATTAGGAAAGTTCTGAGCAATATTAAAATACTGTGGGACTGAAGAATTACAGACATTTCATATAATAAGACTGGCATAATAGAATCCCAGTACAATAAAACACATTTTACTGGATTAAGGATGCAAATTTGCATCCAGACATTGTCCCTCAAATAATGGATTAAGTTGGTTGTATCCAACTTATTTGGCTAATTGAGTTACATTTTAATTGTTTCTGACAATTTACCTCATTGGAATACTGATGCTTTTGGGTAATGATCTCATTACACAACTTAATGTCATTGCAAAATTTACATCAATGTGTAACTTGATACAAATGACAAATTTGGATTTAACAGAGATTTTGGAGTAACAGACACCCCCTCCCCCATAACATCTCTTAAATCACGGGTTAGTATAATATTTATTTTTAAATCCTCAAACAACAAAATAATATTTCTCAATAAGACAACATATAATTGTGGAACCTATTCTGCTAAAACAAAGGATGCTTAGCCATAACAAGTCTTACCACAGAATTTTGTCACCCTTTCATATTAATTTCCTTTAATATTAAGAAATAGAATAGGATATCATATAATTATACAATAATTTTAACATTAATATAATTATAATATTAAGAAATAGAATAGGATATTGTGAGGGAGTGAAGTTGGGAAAAGTAGCTGCAGCCAGGCAGAAATGCTTCTCACCCCATTTCCCTCATACATTCATTCAGAACTTTACTCACAAGCATCCGAGCCGGCGTTTCGGCTGCCTGTGATAATTGAGTTGCACCCTGGCATTTTCAAGAATATGCTGATGTCCAGAGGAAGCCTCATCCCCACCCAGGCTCTTAGCTTAGAAAAGCAAATGCTACAACAGAGCGGAGGTGTGTGTGTAGAAGAAAGGGCATCAGCAAACGGCATACAGGTGGGGAAGCAGAGGCAACATCTGAAGAAAGGCAGCTATTACAAACAGGCAAGAGGACTATTATTCAACTGCCAGGTTCACAAGCTACAGTGAGCAGGATATCCTGGTGGGAGTCCTGCTTGGAGCTTTGCCAGGAGCTCAGTAGCAATTAGAAGAACAACCACACTGAAGCAGCACCTCATCCCAACTCAAATAAGAACATTCGGAAGGAGGCAAAGGTTGTATTTCACTTTTCAGGCTTACAGACTTTTGCTGGAACTAAGTATTAAAGGACTGAGTATTAAAGAGATATTTACATGGCCACATTACCTTACAAGTCCTAGATGGGTGGAGAGCAATAGTCTGTTGTTGGGGAAGGTATGTGTTGCAATAAAGCATTTTGTACAGATTTGCTACGCTGTGGTATGTCTAGTCCTAGGAAGGCAAAGCACCCTCACAGATATTAAGAAATGTAATAGGATATTCAAGTTTTTGGAATACAAATATATCTGTCTAGTAAATTTAAAAAACAATGAATTAAACCAGTTTTAGTTCTTGAGCTTACTAAGATTTAAATCCTACAGAAGTACCAGAATTAATAGTGCTGTTCTGCATTTGAATGGGGGTGTTTTGCTTTTCTATTTGAGGATGAATATCTCACACACCAAACTGAAAGCTGAGTATGAAGGGCTTCATATTCACACTAAGGAGCTGAAAACATCCTTGAATAATTCTCAGCTAGAACTGAACCGTTGGCAAGCTCGTTATGATGAGCTGAAGGAACAGCACCAAACTATGGATATCACCTTAACCAAACTGGACAACCATTGTGAGGTGAGTTCTATAGGTTATGAAAATCCAAAAATTATTACAGGCTCAGGAAAACATCTCTGCAGGTCAGTAGACATAGCATCCATAATTTGCTGGAACTGTCAAGGCAAAATCCATGGGTTAGGATTGGAATTCATGTTAAATCCTAAAAAAATTGAATTGTGGGAGGAAGAGATGTTTAAAGCTAGGTGACAGTAGGAGGCAAAATCTTTCTAAGCCTCCATTTCCCCCTTCCTAGAATTGTTTTTATTACTTTTTCTAGGCTAGCAAAAGAGAAGGATAAACATTCAACTCCATAATATCTCTTAAAACTCTCCCTGACTATATTTAGTATTGATTATGTCTAATTATGCTCAGTATTGTCAGTGGCATATAATTATATTTGTGTGTATTAAGTGCTGGTGGTTGTATTATGGCTGGCTGGTACTGGAGTTCAGAGAACTAGTCACTGAGCAGGGATTTTCCATAAATTAGAGTCTTTGCCTTGGTTGCTTCACAACATGTGGACAAATGTGTGCAAAGAAAACTCATCCATGATATGTCTGTTAAATAGCTGCTTGCTCGACTAAAAGGGAACTTGGAAGAAGAGAATCATCATCTCCTCAGTCAGATCCAGCTATTGAGCCAACAGAATCAAATGTTGCTGGAGCAGAACATGGAGAATAAAGAACAATACCATGAGGAACAAAAGCAATATATGTAAGAGAAGCAATCCCTTTGCATACTGATCTTGGACCTACGAGATTAATATTATATCATGGGGATGAGGGAGCAGGAAAACTTTGAAAGAAATCACTGAGGGCAGCCAAAAAGCAATCAGGAATTTTCTCCGCAACTGCAGAATGATTTTGCTAAGCCTAAGGTATACAGTTCATTGTGTACATTTAGTCTGATGGTTGGGTATGAAAATAGGTGCAACTGGACTCATTAAGATCATCTCATTAAATTAAGAAATGGAAGGTTTACCCCCAATCCCTGTTGTTGCTAGCACAAATAATACGTGAGGTGCTGTCCTACAGTATATGAGCTTTGATGTATAATTTCTGCCATAGTCCAGACAGTTACATTACAATGTACTGTAATACTTGACCAACAAGTCAGACTTTGTCTCAGCAAGCAATGATACCAACTTCTTTGTGGTAGGTAGGTAGACAGATATACGCACACATATACAGTGGGGCAAAAAAGTATTTAGTCAGCCACCAATTGTGCAAGTTCTCCCACTTAAAAAGATGAGAGAGGCCTG